ATATATTTGTAATGTTCTTCACTAATTTCAAAGAAAATGCGAATTTTTATGAATGTGCACATTTCAAAATTCTCTTAAAAATTCGAAATATTCAATAAATAAATAAATAATGTTTTTTAAAAAAATCATGATTTTTAGAAAAAGAAAATTATGAATTATAAAATGGTAAAAATGGAAATTGGAAAAGAAACAGGAAAAAAAATGAGAAACGGGGAAACCAAAAGGAAGAAAGAAACTGAAGAAAGCCATGGAGAAAATGAAGTATACGAGAAACATAACGACAAAACAGAAGTGCGCTCACCTTGTGCATTTGCGTGTCAAAATGTCGCACAGGGCGACAAATATGGTTTCCTCTAAGTGTTAAAAGGGAACATGGCTAATGATTTTGTGGTTAAATGCCCAAGAAGTCTTTTTTTTTATCTGGCCTAACCCATGACACGCCATGGCTTAGAACACCTTATGCATTCGTGTATGTATACCAATATAAAAAGACCAAAGATGCAGATTTAATTAATCTCAGCCATCAAATTATGTCAATTCAATGATCTAGACTGCTTCAATGTCGAGCACTCAACACGTTTAGCGTGCAGTTAATTTTTTTGCGGGGAAGCATGCAGTTAATTTCATGCCAAATATATTACTAATTACATAATAACACGCAAATAATATCATACTTAATATCCGATACTTCCAAATTAACATGCATTGCACGTAGACATTGACTAGTGGAGAATAAGCACACCACCATTCATTTCTCCCCTCCCAGTTTCCAAACGCTCTGAGTTCGCTGAGAACACATCAAATCCATTAACGAGATAATTGTTGACGCCAGGCTACCTTGCTTTGGCCATACTACCTCCTTTCTAGCTTATTTGACATGTGCATATCCCTAGAATGATAATTTCATCAACGTCCTTTTAAAAAAAATCATCAATGCAATACAAATTGTATATCATACTAGAAGAATGCCCGTGCGTTGTAACGGGGCCACATTAACTTTAAGAGTTCAATATTAATATTCTCATACATATCAAGTGACGCACACACACACTCTTCCTCCCTCTTCCTCACTCTCTCTCCCTCTCTCTCTAACACACACACACACATCCATCTTATTGGGTACGGGGCTATCATCCATCTATTTCACACACACACACACACACACACTAGTGCATAACAATATGGATTATGTGTATTATATTTGCCACCACAACTGAGGGAATTAATTTCATGTAAATCGGCCAGCCATAGCTTCAAGAATACGCCGAGGAGGTGGCCCGGGTCGGCATCGGTGCCGTCCGGCGCGGGCCACAAGCCCGCATCCAAGTGTGTCTGCGCGCCGGCCACCCACGCCGGGTCCTTCAAGTGCCGCTTCCACCGTACCAACTCCCAGGGCCAGGGAAGCCGCCCTTCTACGCCCCCTTCACCGGCCGCGGCCAGCGCGGTGCCGCGGCACCTGGCCTCGACGTCCTCATCCTCCGGCACCGTCGCGACCCAGTGACGCAGCCCAAGCATCGGCCTCGAGAATCAAGAACGCTCGACAACGGAGAGGGAAGGGAAAGATCATATACATGTAATAAGAAAGGGAGTTTATTTACTGCTCCCTCGATGTATTGTTTCCTTTGTTTGGAGATTGATTACCATCCGTGAGTTAAGGTAAGGTTAATGTGATTGATCAATTTTTCTGATTAACGTGATTGAATGATTTAAGGTAAGGTTAATTAATTTAAATTTGATCTTTAGAGATTGTTCGTGATTGATTCTACATTACTAAATAACTTGCGTCAGTATGGAAAGTTCTGATCTGTTCAGATTTCTTTCGTTGTGTGAGAGGGTGACGCGAAAATAAACCGATGAAGTGGGGGGAGGGGACGTAAAAAATTCTACGAAAAAAACCAGCAAAGATGGAAGAAGTACCAAAAAAACCATGAAAAGTGGGACGAAAATAAACCGTACGAGGCTACCAACTGCTCCATTAGAAGTAGAGAAAAAGCATATCGTTAGAAACTTCAAATAATACAGAGTTTTAGTGGCATAAAAGCATAAGATATATATAAGTCGTACGATATTGATCAAGTTTCTAATTTAAGGATACGCGCAGTCCTAATAAACCGGAAAGGATGGAGTATGATGCACACCACAACAACGACCCAATAATGCTGATTCCATGTCGCCTTCCTGCAAGGGCGTGCCACGTCGCCACTTTCTTAGTCAGCTAGACATCCTTCCGAGCCTCCGCGGAGTTCAGGCTATCCACGATGAACTCACCACCGCCACCACAACAAACATGACCCGTGCCCTTTCCCACCGGATCTACAACTTCCCCTACTCAATGTCATAGTCCTGCTCATCATCATTACCGGGTGCCCGGCCTGATTCCAACCACCGTGTTTGCACCTGCTTGAAATTTGGTGTGGCCCCAAAGAGACATAAAGAGAGGAGAAAGGGAGGTGGGACAATTATTTATAGTATATATGATGGGCATAAGTGATCGGTAAGGACCATTGGCCTGTTTTCCTTAATTACGGACCGTTGCACTGAGTTGGAGGCTTGGAGCAGTTATCTAGCTGCACCAGCTTTCTCTATGAGGCTGGTCATAGTGGGAGTAACATAGGTAGTAACATAGATGCCACATAAGCAAAAATGATGATGTGGCAAGTAGTTAATGAGGAGAGAGGCAAATAGAGTAACATAATATGTTACCATCACATAGCGGTTTCCAATGCATAATGAGTCTACAAAGTAATAAATGAAGGCAACTATGTTACCACACCTGTGACACTACCCACTATGAAGGTAGTAACATAGACTAGTAACATATGTATGTTACTAGTCTAAGTTACTCCCCACTATGACCAGCCTGAGGCTGGTTGTAATGTGAGTATCATATGCTAGTATTATGCATATGCTATTAGTGTATAATATTACCTTCCTAATGCATAGTATCATATATTAGTATCATGTAGTACTTTATTTATTGCCATGCATGACACAAAGTAGCATAACATTTATTATGATACGGTATCATGATATGATACTTCATCCTCTCTTTCTTCATTTAATGCTATGACATCTCATCAAAATTGTCTAGTTGGCATGCATGATACTAGCTATGATACTACCATTACGACCAGCCTGAGGATAGCACACACTTCCGAGTTGCCGCGATAACACACTTGTGCATCCCCCTTATTTGTGCACATACACATCAAGTCTTTAATGGATAAACGTGCCACGGTCTCAGGGAGTATGAATTCTAGCGCGCAATAATTTTATAAAATAGGTAAAATTTCTGGATAAACAGTCACCACCATGCTATAGTTAAGCTTGACCACAAGGTCAGGATGGATTGTAACTAATAACGCCATCCATGGTGTATAACTCTGACTGTGTCACGTTAGCTAGTAGTATGGTTTTTCTTTGAACTGATAGTAATAAGCATTTATCCGACCATTGTTAAATACTACTCCCTCCATCCCAAATTATTTGTCTTAGATTTGTCTATATACGAATGTATGACATTGTCTATATATGAATGTATGTCATACATTTGTATATAGACAAATCTAAAACAAGTAATTTGGGACGGAGGTAATACAATGTATCGTGTACACCAACTGCTTGCCACAGGAATGCAAGAAAATGGCCTACAACAAGTTGATTACTGTCAACCCCACGTAAGTACATGGTGATGTATTGTTTGCGGTAAATTTGAATGTGTCACACATTTGCAGCTATAATTAAAAGTAACAATTACGTGTTTGTCGTTCTTCAAGCAACACAGTTGCAGCAAGTCAGAGACAGGGAAACCATGGCTGGCCACGTCATCTTCAGAGAGATCGTGCGAGGGTCGAGCGAAAGACTGGGACAACATAGCTGAGCACGACG